CGTAATTGGAATCAATCCGGAACAACTTCTACGTTGACGACTTGCTCAAATCTACCTCCACAGTCACAGAAGGAGGACATTTAGCCAAGGACATGCGGGAAGCATGTAAAGAAGGAGGATTCAGACTTACCAAGTGGGTAAGCAACAGTCGAGAGGTACTCAAGACCGTACCAGTAGCAGAGATGTCAGAAGAAGTTAGGGACCTGAATCTCGACTTTGACACAATGCCAGTGGAACGCACATTGGGCATGCTATGGAATGTGCAGACAGATACCTTGGGCTTTCGCAACGTCGTAAAAGACAAACCGGCGACCAAGAGGGGAATTCTGTCTACAGTAAGCTCGATGTATGACCCCCTAGGGTTGATTGCTCCTGCCACGCTGCAACCCAAACTGCTCTTACAAGACCTGTGCAGGGAAGGGACAACTTGGGATGAGGAGATTCCAGACAAGCATATCGAATCATGGCGACAGTGGGAAGTAGAATTACCATTGTTGAGTCGCAGTTTCACGGTGAGCAGATGTGTCAAACCCGCTGGATTTGGAACCCCTACGTCAGTACAGCTACACCACTTCGCGGACGCGAGTGAAGTAGGATACGGAACTGCTTCGTACATGCGTATAGAAAATCAAGAAGGCAGAGTACACTGTACTTTGTTAATGGGCAAGGCCCGAGTAGCACCATTGAAGGCTCACACAATTCCAAGATTGGAGCTTAAAGCAGCAGAAATTGCTGTCCGTGTAAACTCTACGCTCCAAAGGGAGTTGGACGTCAACGTCGACGAGACGTTTTTCTGGACTGACAGCACAACAGTGCTACGCTATATCAACAACGAGAGAACAAGGTATCACACCTTTGTAGCCAACCGGCTAACAGCAATAAGAAACGCCAGCGATCCAAAACAATGGCGTTATGTTGAATCACAACAGAATCCTGCAGACGATGCATCGAGGGGACAGACGATCCAGAAGTTCGTGGAAAACGACAGGTGGGTAAATGGCCCACCCTTCCTGTGGTGCTCACCCAGCGAATGGCCACAGATGCCAGAGGGTCTTCAGCAGCCGCCACAGGGGGACCCTGAAGTTAAGGTGAACGCCATTGGAGTGGAGGAAGCTCAGAAGGGCCCTATGGATGCGCTAATAGCGCATTATTCAAGTTGGCACCGTCTCAAGAAAGCAGTGGCCTGGATCATCAAGGTAAAGCAAGCCCTCAGGCAGAAGAACAAGGCCACTGAAGTCGGATTGACAATGCACGATCTCAAACAAGCTGAAGGAGCTATTTTCAAACACGTGCAGCACAGATACTACCATCAGGAGATAGTATCGTTAGAGAGGTCGAAGGATGCAGGAGTAGCATCTACTAGCAGCGTCTACAAGCTAAACCCGATATTAGGAGAAGACGGTCTGCTGAGAGTGGGCGGGAGACTTGACATGTCGTCTCTGTCAGAAGAAGAGAAGCATCCCATAATACTCCCTAAGGAGTCAGCAGTAACGCTGCTGATCATACGGAGTATACACGAGGAAGTAGGCCACATGGGGAGAAACTACGTGAGGGCCAAAGTGCGAGAGCGCTATTGGATACCACAGAGTAGCACGCTGATCAGAAAGATAATCAGCAGGTGCGTTACCTGTCGACGTCATCACGGCAAAACGGGAGAACAGAAGATGGCCGATCTACCATCACACAGAGTCACACCGGATGAACCACCGTTCACCAATGTAGGCGTTGACTACTTCGGCCCTTTTGAAGTAAAAAGAGGTCGCAGTATCGTGAAGCGATATGGAGTCATCTTCACCTGCACCACAACCCGAGCAGTTCACTTGGAGAAAGCAGACTCCCTAGACACGGATAGCTGCATCAATGCCTTGCGGAGATTCATCGCAAGACGAGGACAAGTCAAACAAATATGGTCAGATAACGGAACCAACCTCGTGGGGGCAAAGGCCGAGCTAAAGAAGGAGATAGCAAGGTGGAACCAAGACAAGATTAAGGACACCTTACTGCAGAAGGAAGTGGACTGGAAGTTCAGCCCACCTAAAGGGTCGCATTTCGGCGGCGTTTGGGAGCGACAGATACGCACAATAAGACAGGTGCTGAATGCGATCATGAAGAAGAATCCACTAGATGACGAAGGATTACACACTTTGCTGTGCGAAGCTGAAAGCATAGTAAACGGAAGACCAATAACGGCGGTTAACAATGAAGTTGATGACCTGGAAGCGTTGACGCCCAACCGTCTCCTGACTATGAAAATGAAAACTTCGCTGCCGCCAAACCTAACCAGCAAGAACGACCTGTATGCCAGACGCAGATGGAAGCAGGTGCAGTATCTTGCCGACTTATTCTGGAAACGATGGTCGCAGGAGTATCTCACGTCACTACAGGAGCGGCAGAAATGGGGCAAACAAAGGCAAAACCTTGCCGTGGGAGATATAGTTCTCCTGAAAGATGAAACCTCACCGCGAAGTTGCTGGCCGTTAGGCAGGGTGCTGGAAGTGACCCACCACAGCGACGGATTAGTGCGTAGAGTAAAAGTAAAGACGCAAAACAATGTACTCGAGAGACCAATCGACAAACTATGTGTACTGCTGTAAGCTGGAAGTTAAAGTAGGAAACTATTGCATGCTATTTCTACTAACAATGAGTTATTAAGTTACTAATGTTATAAGGAAGTTGGCTCGTAATGTGTAAGGTAAAATTGCCCAACGGACAATTTGGGGGCCAGTGTAAGTGCCAACTTCCAATTTTGAATTTCCCGCCAGTAGATTAAGTTAGTATAGCTTCCCGCCAACTCCCTGCCCCCCTGAGCTCCAGGGTAGGGAGCCCGTCTGTCTGGGACTTAGGTAGACAAGGCGACAGGCAGTGCATAAGGCACAAGCAGAGAGACAGAAGTCTGGTGTGGTTCGTGAGTTAGGACCAAAAAGGGCCTGGGCACAGAAGTCCCAGGAAAGACCAGAAGAGGATTACAAAGGCCTGGATACAAGGATCCAGGAAATCCAGAAGAGGATTATCAAAGGCCTGGACAGAGAGGGTCCAGGAGATACCAGAGGATATTCTGTGGAAGGACGATGAGACCATACCAGTTTTACGTCAAGAACTCGCCAAGAACTCGCCAAGAACTCGCCAGGAACTTGCCAAGAACTAGCCAAGAATTCACCAGGAACTTGCTAAGAACTTGTCAAGAACTTGTGCTTTGTTCCTCGAATTGGGATCAAGAAAGCAAACTGCCCTAGGAATACAATTACCAACAAGAACTCTACCAGCAAATTCAGAAACATCGAACTTATACGGCGGAAGTAGAACAGGGCGGATTTCAGTTTGTATTACTAACTCTACTGAAGATTAAACATTTATGACGTATTCCAATCAGTTTGTACGACTTCTTCCCTGAAGACCAACAGAGGTGAGTTCGGTAACACTTCCTCATACGTCCATCCCATGCAGAATAGCAGCAGCCACAGTAGTAAAGTGGTGCTGCGCCTACAACACTATTTAGGTCATGTGCAACACTATTACCTTAGCATACTGCCCCCAGTTTGTCATCAATGGTCCCTATGCTTGTTGGAACCCTGTTACCATGCCGTTAACTTATGAAGGCCATATGACTCTGAGCCAATCAGAACACTCGCCTGTATCGTAGGCAAAATTTGTAAAAATCTCTAGGCAATTGTTTTTCTACTAACCTTCACATTATGATTTTTGTTTGCCTAAAACTGACTGTATGCCTAAATTTAAAAAAGTTCTCAGGTTTTAAAGATTTTTTTGTGAAATCTATTGCCATGACAACAATATTATTACATGTCATAATGGAATGGGAACTACATGAGTGAGAAATGTTAAACTGTACACTTTCAACATGTTTTCCCAAATACGACTTGAACATGAGCTTTTAGTATGTGCATATATTTTTTTCTAATAAGTGTTACTAAACAAGATGTCTTATTTCTATCAACTGTTTTTCAGTATTGTGGTTACTTCATTTTTTAATACATTGTGCTTTCTATAACTCCCTTTTATATGTTACATATATGAGTGTGTCATAACAGTGGAGTCAGTAATGAATGTGAACATTTTCAACTTTTGTTGTAACAAAGCTGTTCAAACAACTACTTTGTACTTTGTCTGTTTTCTTCAATACTGTTAAATTTATTGCAAATTCGTGCCCGAGGGCTAATTGCAAATTACAAACATAAAAGAACAATGAAACAGAGTATAAAATACTTTCTACATGATCTTAACATGTTAGCTCCTCTTGTATAAGTAAGTGTAACATATTAAGTAAGCTGCAAAGAAAAGATTGTGTATTTTCCTGCATGGATATGAGCTGAAAGACGTGTGCAGGTAACCTCTACCGGGCTTCTGGAAGCGACTGAGAAGAGTAGAAATTGGTCAGATAGGTATAAACAGATGATATGCCAGGGGAGTTGGTGTGCGCTATATATAAATTATATATTGCGTACACCAACTCCCCTGATTAAGTAGAAGTACAGTTTGTTTTTTTTTGGGGGGGGGGGTGCGGCATACTGTACTCTTAGGCTAACGCGCACACGAAAACGACCTCTTTGCGGAAGGTACTAGCAAAAACTATTCAACCTCCTTGGTACTAGTAATAAAATGATCGATTCCTTATTATATTAAATAAAGTAACAAATTCGGTTCCTGCGATCAAATATTTTCTGCTGCAATAGTCTTTTTTAGTTTGGAAAACTTCTGCGGACTGTTGTGCTTCCTCGTCCGTTTCGCTACTTTCGCGCCGTTAATACTGGGGAATAGCGACAGATCGGAAGGTCAGTGGCAATCTTCCCACCGACCTCTGCTTGGAGAGTTGCCCATATGGGATTTTACTTCCTGTGGTCATCTCCTCACAACACTAGTCATGCTGCTTTGACGCCCACGGTCTAAACACATTTCTCAGAAAACAGACTGGGGCCGACTGAACCATAGCCGTATAGGAGACCAAATAAACAAAACGTTCTCAAAATAATACTTCTATGCGCCATAAACTACACAATTCACCTTTTATTAGATAAGCACTTAATTTAAACGTCATAAAAACCTTATTTGATGTCTCAAGCTTGCCTTGTCATTCTTAAAAATGAGTGTTAAAAGTAAAGATCCCTTTATATTGAATAGACTATTCCGGTCAGTTCCGTTGTATTCCCATGCTTCCCAAGCTGGTGTCGAAAAAAAGTTATTGCTGGAGTCTTCCCTTGCGAAGACGGTGCTCGTTTCGTCTTGACTTCTGCGTTTTCGTCGACTTGTCTGTGCCAGAACAAGACAGTAAGTATGGCGTAATATTATGCTACAAGGTTTTCTACTTCGGCTCTTTGGGGAAGACGGGAGAGCAGGAGGGGTGGGAGAGCAACGTTGTGAAGTAGCGCTCATGTTGCTTCGTAGAGCGACCTGTCAAGGTGCATAACTTCCTTGGTTCAAGGTGGGGCGAGATCGTTGATTTGTCTTGAACAAAGCAAGGAGGTTTAACCTCCTTGAACAGGGGCATAATATAGGACTATATACTGTCTTTGGTTTGACAGACATAACATAATTTTACAGGCACTGCACTGTGCTAGCCCGTGTGGTCGGCAATACATTTTACCTGTTTGCGAGAGCAAAAAACTGATCCTTACATAATTTTTAGTTAACTGTTACAAATGTAACGTTATTATTTTGGCTGAAGGTCTGTCAGAGAGTATACAGTTCCTGTTTCATATACTAGAGGAGGCAGAGTTGCACGGCGAGCAGGCTGCATGGCAGTTTCTGTGTGTTCTGCTAGAGGGCTTCTAAATTGTCATGAGGGGGTGAAGTCTGCCATCTCTGAATGCCTTTATGTCTCTCTCTTTGTAAGGACTATGGGAGAGGAGAACTGGTTCCTAGTCGAAGTGCAGAAAATGCGGTCGGAGGGTCTGTTGATGGACGTGACTCTGTGTGCCGAGGGAAAGGAGATTCCCTGTCACCGTCTGGTTCTGGCTGCCAACAGCGAATACTTCAAAGTCATGTTCAATGGAAGCCACAGCGAGAGCAGGAAGGACAAGATAGAGATAGGAGGGGTGAGCGCAGAGGCACTGCAGCTTTTAGTGGACTATTCCTACACGTCCACAATCGACGCCTCTAAAAACGTCAATGCCCTGTTTCAAGCAGCGGACATGCTGCAGTTTCCGCAAGTCTATAAGAAATGCGAAGAGTGTCTGTTGAAACTTGTGAGTGAAGAAACGTGTGTGGAAATGTGGGTGTTGGCTGACAGGGTGTCGTGTACGCGTTTAGCGGAGAAAGCAAAGAGCTGGGCGATGAAATGGTTCGATATGCAGTACACAACCAAGGAGCTTCTTCAACTTCCTTTCCACCTACTCAAGACGTACGTCTCAGACGAGCACCTTTTCGCCGAGGAGCAGCAAATCTTGGAAGCAATCCTGCTTTGGGCAAGACACGATCTTAAAGAACGAGAAGGCCACCTAAAGGAGCTGTTGAAGTGTGTCTGCTTCTCAAGTATAGACAAAGACTACCTCAAGAACTTGATGAAGGAAGATGAAGTGTTTGCGAGGGTTCCTGGGATCAGTTACATGATGAGGAGCCAGACTGTCAGTGTGCGCATGGTACGTCGTGTTATCCTCGAGAAGAACATGCTAGTTATCGGTGGTGTCACAGAAACAACGACGTTGAACGACAAAGTCTACCGACTAAGACCTGATTCTGAATGTGTCAATGCGAATCCGCTGCCGAAAAAGCTCCGGGAAAGCCATGGAATGGCGGCGTGCGCCTTCCACGATCACGTGATCGTGACAGGTGGGGACAAGTCCATGTGGCAGGCATGGAGGTACAAACCACGTCAGAACTCATGGGACAGGCTGCCAAACCTTCGGACTGGACGATACGACCACGGGATGGCAGTTTTGGGGGGACAGTTGTATGTGGTTGGTGGTGCCGAGAATGACACGTACTATGATGAATATTATGAAGATGAAAATGATGATGATGAAGATGATGACGATGATGAGTGGGATGATGTTGATGATGACGAGAAGTGGGTGATACCTGATGTCGAGGTATACGACAAGAAGAGCAACCGTTGGAAACTAACGAAGCAACTACGAGTGGCCGTGAGCAACTTCGCCATAGCTGCCTGCCGCGGGAAGCTCTATGTGTTCGGTGGAGAGACTGATGAGGAATATGCGACTAACGCTGTCCAGTGCTTTGACCCTAAGAACAAAAAGTGGTCGTTGGACCTGTGGTTGGCAGAGGCTGTGAGTTGTCTAAGTGCGTGCACAGTTGGCTCCAAGATCTACCTTGTTGGGGGACCGTTACAGCAGGTGATGTGCTTCAATCCGGAGAAAGAGACTCTCGTGTCTCTGGCCCACAGACTGGTGCCGTGGGACTGCTGTAGTGCCACGGTGTGCTGGGGAGAGATCTATATAACCGGTGGCAGGGCATATGACGAGACACGCCCATGGTACAACTCTGAAACCTTGGCCTACGTGCAGTGTTACAACATAGCCAGTGACAACATGGTCTTATGTAATGACCTGCCAGAGCGACTGTATGGACACTGCACTGTAACCATCAAAAAGTAGTTCACAGGCCACACTTTTTGCAAAAACTGTTACTGGGCGTGAATATTGTTTCCAAAATACCTCTGGAGTCTAAATTGACCTTGACTTGACTTTGTAAGACATTTGGAGGTGAAATTGACCTTGAGTTCACCTTGTAAGACCTGGATATAAATTGACCTTACATTGACCTTGTTGTTTTGACCTTGTAAGACCTGAAGGTAAAATTGACCTTGCAAGACCATGATGTGAAATTGACCATGCTTTAACCTTCATGGCAAATTGACCTTGTAAGACCTGGAGGAAAAATTTACATTAAGTTGACCTTGATGTGATATAAAGCTTGTAAGAACTTGATGCCAAGTTGACCTTGAGTTGACCTTGCAAGACCTGGATTTGAAGTTGACCTTGAGTTGACATGTAAGATAAGACACTATAAGACAGTACTAGTAGTCAGGTCATGCAACTTGTATGTTTCAACTTACAAGTTTATTGTGTTATATGCATTTTTAAACTTTTCTAACAACTTTCGATATTTCCTATATGCTATTTTATTTTTGACTAGTACTATTAGTTGATTAGTTCTTACTAATACAGTAGTTTCATTGCTAATTACTTACATACCTATATAGATTTATATTTCTAATGTTGATATTTTTTATTATGTATGTTTGACTGACCTATACAAAATAGCTTTGAAAGTTTGAGAAGACCATCTGTAATGCAAGGTTGTAACAACATGTTAAGTGGTTGTATGAAAACTTTTATTGCCACAAAAAAATAAAAGTTGTCAATGTTGTTAATCTGTGTGTTTTACAAATGAGTTTAAAACATGGCAGGTACCAGTAATTTACTTGTAGCTGTGGGTATATACCGTTCATCAGTCACAATGTTATTCCAAACTTACTGTCACATCATGTTTCATAACCTAACAATGAAATGATATTCTGGAGAACTGAAGTATCTTTACTCTTGGTTTCAACATCACAATCCCTTCTTGGCTTTGAACCTCTTTGAAGATACATAGGGGCTATTCAATCTTCATCAATGACGATTTAAGTTATACACCATATACCGGTACCACCACTAGGTACACTATACAAATCGAAGTTACCAGCATGGTTTCTTTCTACCAAGTCTGCCTATTATAACCTCCTTGTTTCAACAGATCTATATTGTTCACAGTAGCTTTATCAAACTACATGTACCACCCTGGTACAGTACATACCTGAACATATCTTCTGTATATAAAGAAAAGTAAAAGTGGAAATATAAAATCCTTTCAGCATACCTACAGCTCATACTAGTAGTAAAGCTTCCCTTTGTCCCGATCTACAGTACTGGTACTATTTTCAAAGGAATGCATGATTGGCAAAACCCCCTTCAGACCCCTTCCTGCCATAATCACTCTTTCATCTCCCCTTCTTCATCCTCTTCTTCCACCCCTCGGATGTACAGGACGTTGTTACATCTAGAAAAAAAAACACATGTTATTCAGCACATTCTTACATTCATACACCGATACAACAGTTAAATCTATTTTTAGACATGGGTAGAGATAATGATCCCAAAGCTTTTTCAGCCGTAGGGGCAGTGGGCTGTTTGTCCACTGTGTTTAGGGCATGGTTTTGGAAGGCAGAGCCCATCCCTCTCCTTCCACCACCTTTTACTTTCCCAACTGGTCAGGTATCAATTCTAAACCTGGGTGGAGCAAGAAAGGTTTGTTTAAGTGCCTTTCCCAAGGACACAACGTTTAGCCAGGAATGCAAGGAATCGAACCCGTGGCCTGTTGGTCTCATGTCCCCTAGCCTAACCGCTTGCTCATTCATTGCCAGTGACACATGTAATGCATGAATCAATGTGTAGCCATATTTTCTCCATTGACCACACAGTAATGATCCATGTCATCAGTTGTTCTACCTCCCCTCCCAAACACACCACAGCAAACTCTACTGCTGGGTTGTCCCTAAAATGGAGAGGATATGGGAAGTTTTAAAATCTTACTCTCAGTTCACTCTCAGTCTGGTTAGATTTTCACGACCTCACCAAAGCAGAATTATCATTACAGAGATATTGCTTCAACTATCTGTCCTGATCCTGACCTGATGAGCACCTCCCCCAGGTTCCCTGCCAGAGCTCCATCAATGTACTCTTCTGTGTTGGCCAACTGTGGAGGAAAACACACAATAATAGGTTACACTCACTGTCAGCCACACTGAAGTCCAACTCATGCACTCAGTCCCCTACTAGTACAGCTGTAAGCCATAAGGGCAGTCTGTCTATCCACAAAAGCCCAACTGCACAAGTTATAATGCAACACTGTCAGTCACCTTTGCTTCATCATCATATGGAGCGAATTCAGTGATTGACGTAACTGTTGCCCACGACATGTACTCATAGCAGTACATGTGTAGTTTCACACCCAACCTTTGCACATCTAACTATAAGCACTGTTTCAAGCTATCTAGGGATAATGCCCCTACTTAGTGGCAGTGAGTTCCACTCAGCTATCTAACTTGTACATCTGGTACCTCAGCAGACTGAGGGTTAACACAGATACATGTACGTACCTGTAGGTTCATGTATCCATCGACTGACACCAGATAACCCTTGTACTCCATGCCCCACTTCAGTTTCACCATCACAGGTTTGCCTGTCAGTCCGTTCAGGAACGGCTTAGGGTTCAGTGGGAGGGTCTGGAACAAAGGGGTTAGACATGAGTGGATTGTAAATCTTGATGTGTTTGCAGATTCATGATACATAATTTGTACCTTGTTTATGACTAGTATGAGGGGGCGAACCTACACAAACCCGGGCTGCCAGCTCACAAACCCACTGCACAGATGACAAGATAAAAGGTCCAGTTACTGGCACTTGGACCCAACTGTTACAAGTTAACTAACAACTATATTACAGGATTTATATAAATTCAACAGGGAACTTTAACACTGTGAAGACCACCTTTCCCCTCCTACTGAAAATGATGTCCCTACACCTTGATACCTTGATACCATCTTCGGGATGAGAGGTAATCCTGTGGTGATCCCGATCTTGACTTCACTCAGTGTTATACTTTATGCTCTCCCAGTATTTGTCTAGGTTCGTCTTGAACTCATTAACTGACTCTGAGTCAATTACGGCCTGTGGTAGACTGTTCCAATCCCTAACGACCCGGACGCTAAATGACTGTCGTCTAACTCTTCCCTTGGCCAAAGGGACCTCCAGTTTGCAACTGTGCCATCTTGTTGATCCTTCTGTTCGCTTCTTGAAGAAGGATTCGAGTTGGATTCCCTCCAGCCCTCTTGCTAGTTTGAATACCTGTATCATGTCTCCTCTGCGCCTCCTATACTGTAGGGAGGGAAGACCTAAGGTCTTCAGTCTCTCCTGGTAGGGTAGATCCCTGAGATTCAGAGGGAGTTTGATGGCCCTTCTTTGTACCTTCTACAGAAACCAATAAATTCACAGTACACCATGCACTGCATTTATTGCTTGGAACATTCCATTGATTTGGGTAACTAGCCCGTTTTCCTCTATAACAGCATTTTCTTTTATAATAATTATATGTGTGTTGTTTCTGAGCATCATCCTTTGTTTTTACCATGCATGAGCCCCCCACCCCCTTTTCATAGCACGAAAAACGCATTTTCGTCATGAATAACACATGTCCAACCAATATCTATATATTACCGACAATGGCTCCGTTGTCTAGTGTCCTATTTCACAAACTAATGGTGTGAAAACTCTGGTTACTTACCGACATTCTGCCTAAATTTGATGAAATTTGGGTCAACAAAAATGTGAAAGAGGCCGCCACGCGAGTCGAAAAGCCTTGTGGGTAATTTTACGTCAGGCCAGCGTATGGATGAAACCATTATAGCATTAGGGTGGATTAAATTTTTAAAAAATTAATGGATTGAAAATAGTCAAAACTTCGTCTACGACAATATTTTATATAAGAACATATGGTAACGTTTTTATTATTTTATTTGATGTAATATGCTGCATTTTAAATATTTTACCCCTTTAAAATCACACCTTACCGCAAGTGAATGATTCCATGACGTCATCACGTGATCATTGCTAAGTCGCCATTTTGGGGAGGAGAGAAAAATCAGGGAATGAACTGGGTAGTTTTGACTTAAAATTAGAAGATTTAACAACGTTTTCTGCTTCTTAGTCAAGATGTTTGTCATTTGCGGACCAAAGCTGTCCATTTGCGGTTTCATTATCAGCATTTGGGCCATTATAATGATGGTAAGTAGCCTTAAAAATTGTCATACATTTTTTCACCTTGATAAAAATGTCATCCGCCTTTACTATGGTGATACGAAATTTTATGTCTATTTCCACAGGGTCTGATGGGAGTGTTCTTCCTAATCAAGAGTCCACTGCTGCTGGAAGACATCGGCCCTGCGACAGACGACGACTGGAAAGAGTAGGTCCTAGTTATGGTTACTGGACATAAGTTATACCAACTGTAAATTATAGATAAGCTGCATCACTAAAGACATATTAGTCTTCAATAACGTCATGTTAGTATGCCCAATTTTATTCCTGTTTTGTTGTCATTAGCAAGAAGGTTATGTTTTGGCAGTGATCTTGTGTGTGTCTGTGTGTGTCTGCCTGTAAACATGATAACTTAAGAAGGCTCACTTGGATTGCCTTGATATTTTGCAGGTACTTAGGTTTTAATGATTAGATTTTTGGGCCACCTGGCAGCTAGTTATGGTACTGCAGCAGGACTTCCTTTTTTTTGATCTTGTGATTCTGGGTTGACAAATAATACAATATCGTGTTCCCTCCCTTCCCCACAGTCGGAAGAAGATTGACGCTATATTCCAGCAGAGTGCGTACAACTGCTGGGTGGTGGCGGGAGTTTATGCCTTCCTGGGGCTCTTCAGCTACTTCCAGATGAGGATGAACAGCAGACAGCAGTACGTCGTCACGTAAAGACACAGCCACCGCAAAAAATAGATAATGTTATACGCAACTCATTTTTTTTGTACAGTAGAATCTTTGTTGTAAGAAATGATGATGATGATAAGAAACTAGTTGTTACAAGTATGAAATAGTAGCCTGGGCGTCACACTGTAGGCCAGCTAGACCCTGAGCAGCAACTGAGGGGGTCTGTGGTAAAATTTCCCTTGGGGACATGTTGGCCCTGGAGCCACTGAGCTAGCCTGCCAACAGTCTGGCACCCAGGCTAATGAAATAGAGGAGGCCAGGGCATGGAACTATGCTAATACATTGTAGCTTGGAAGAAAACAAAATGAGAGTTGATTCTTACTCATAAAATACATATGTGGATGTTGTGTAAGGTGTTATTTGTGTTATACAGTTTGTACTTGTTATGAGATATTAGACAATTTGCTGTTAGAAGCTGGACAAGCAAGAATTGATTGGTCTAAAAATGTGAACTAAGACTTTTTCTGTCATCGATTATTCAAATTTTGACAACAAAGGGTTATTTGGGGATATGTTGCTTCTTATGTATACTATGATATGAGGTTTAGGGTATGTATATGATGATCTGATGGTGTCAATGTTATACATGGTTCCACAATCCAGCTCTGGAAAAGGAGTTTTCCATTTCTTTGTGGCTCTATTAGTGCTGTACTAACTAATGTAATAAGTTATAGTAAATTATTATGTGCAACTCAGTACAAAGTGAAGGGCTGAGCTTTTGGTAATAAGATGGTGAATTGTGAGCTTTTCTTCTGAAGCGATTAAGGCCTGATAATGTTTGGAAAAACAGTCCTGTAACATATTCTGAATTTCATTTGATTTCTTTCATCCTGATTCTATATGAAAAGAAATGCCTGTAAGTAGTTCTACATGCAGACATGATACTAGGATTAAATAGTGAATGTAAAAAGACAGAAGCTAGTGAAGTTTAACAGTACAAGCAAGTCACATGAAGACTGATATATTATTGTGAACCATATGCATATTAGGTAATTATAATAAAATGTCAGGTAAGATGAAATAACACTCAACACGGATGTCCATCCAGTTCTTTGTATCCATTCAGTTGTAAAATCTAGTACAGTATAAATGTGAAAAAAAGGAAGACTAGAACAATTGCTGTACATTGGTGGTAGTGTACATGTTACTGTATATGGGAAACAATGCTGCAGTTGAACACTTTATGGACTGTTCAGCTTATATTCTAATAATATGCAGTTGTTGGTGTGATAGCTCTATGTGTCAGTTACAAAGTCTGCAAACAATTCCAAGATATTCAGAAAGACTAAGAAACTTGATATGACAAATGATGTTTTGGTGAAACTATCGGTAAGCATCGATTTGTGAATTTTATGTACCTTATCTTTACCACACCCCGTATGTACATTGTATACAGTGTGCCCAATACAAGTGCAATACAACTTGTACGCTATACCACTCAGAAATTATTGTGTGTGTTATTTAAGGACTTTATCTTTATTTATAAACATTAAAGCAGCAATGAAATACTAGTATGTAGACTACTATAATAGCAATATATTTATGAATATCCTTGTCAATATACCGAGCACCGAACCTAAACTGAAGGTTATTTTATTATAAGAGTACGCAAAGTGAAGATTTTTTCTTTCCAGATGTAGTCGCTGGAATGTCTTTTGAAGAAGTCTTTTTACTGGAATTGTTGTCTTCCCCTTCTTGTCCTTTACCCTGGTGCTTGCTAGTGTTTGTTGCCTCACCGGGATGCTCCGTTGGTTGTTGAGGTTCTTCCTCGATGACGCCTGTTTTTATAGGCGGCAGGACGGCGCGTTTGGGCCCGTCTTCTGGAATGGTGGAGAGGCGGCGGCTGGAGTGGGTCACGTCGCTACGTCCGGCAGAGGCGTCACTGTTAGCAGGGACTGCTCTGTCCTGTAGAAATGACAAACTCACTTTTTTCAAAATCACACCAAGAAATGGGAGATTTAAGACTTCTAAAAAGTGTTTTCGGAATCCTTGAATGTATCGGAATTGTACGTATACTGTATGATCATGGGAAAATACCCGATTGAATCACATCATAGAATGGATCATCATCCATACGATTGTATGGCATAACGAACTCCCGTATCACACCATGGTTCATGTTTTAACTTTTTTAATAATTAATACATGTACCATGATTGCACAATGTGACCCCATACACAACCCTGCCAATCAACTGAAACCCAGCCACCTGAATTTTATTTACCTGGGCTTTGTCTTCTTCATCTTCCTCCTCTTCTTCCACCACTTTAGGCTGGTTTCCTGCTGCAAAAGGTGATTTACTGACCCACGGCGTGTCCTTCCGCCTCCGGGCCTGTCTTGCAGCGTCATCACCTGTGCAAAGTGTCCGAACGTAACATTTAAAGACGATTTTCTTCTGTTCTTTTTGGTCATTAAAATGGATTGCGACTTGAATTTCTTGGTCTTAGGAGGAAGTTCCACGCTGAAAGCTTCTTTTCTAGAACAACATTACTATGGAATAAACTACCTCATGATTGTTTCCCATATGGGTAACCTTAAACCTTTCAAGTCTAAGGTCAACAAACATTTGTCCTCACTGGCTGTACAGTAACCTAAAACATTTTAATGGCTCTCACGAGCCTTGTTTTATGGTGACTCATGAAGTAAATAAAAAGGAAAAATTCTAAGTGAAACGTATATGTCAAAACGCTTAATTAATCAATTTAATAATGTCATATTATTGTTTTCAACATCTAAGAAATTGTTTTGAAATGGAAAAAACAATTCTATTGTGCAACAACAAAAACAACGTGCAGACATTCACAACCTACATTTGACAGAGTATTCCTTGATCTGGGTGACGAGGTCTTCTCTCCCAGCCATCCTCATCCCTTCTTCAAGTTTACTCAAGTTGTTCGGAGGTCCAATTTTCCCGTGATCCTCTAGCACCTCGAATAATTCCAAGGGACTCGTCACTTTCTCTAACACACTCTCTTCTACGTCTTCCTTGAACATGAACTTGATAATCTCCAGGTCGCCGTCCCGCATTTCTTTGCCCAATTCCTGCAGAAGAGTCTTGTACGGTGCAGTGTCATCACTTGGTTGGTCTGGCCGCCATTTTGGATCGTCTTTGAAAGTGACCGCCATCTTGTTCACCTTAAAGTCCAGGGGTCTCGTTCGATGATTTTGATAAGTTTTCCAGCAAAGCTAGCTCAGTGGTTTCCTCTGACTTAGTTCAGCTTCGAAGATGGCTAACCTTTTGTCGGTTTGTGACGGTTATGTCTTTGGGACGACATCAGACCACTGTGAGTTGTTTCAGCTTTTACTCCAGCTCATCCGAAAGTTCTCGACCAAAAGCTAACTACATTCTACATGTAGTCATCAAATCCATTTCCAACATCGTTATAAAACTGCAATGATCCGTGCCTCGATGACGTTACGTTATGTTAGCCACCAAGCTACATGTATGGCCACCAAACACCACAGAAGAAGACCTCTGCCTGCAAAAAAAATCGAGAAGAAAGGAATGCGTCACTACTTGAAATTAAGTCATGTGAACTAACAAGATTAAATCGCGCTTTCTTAGACTTTGGACGGATTTCGACCGGCAGTCTTTTGTGGTGAGTTGGGACTTTGGACAAAGGGGCTACTGGTGCAGCACAGTCGTGCATTGCATTCCTTCATACTTATCTTACTGAGAAAAACATAGTGATAAAAACACTCCAACTAAATTACGAACAACATTATCCTGGCGGACTGTCCTTTTCCATTTTAGAGATAAATACATGCAAATCTGAAGATATCATTTACTGTTGTTGACTCATAAGGATGTATGAACTTTTAGCAAATATTTCCCCGTTCCCAATGTTTTTGTGTTTTTTTCGGCTGACTCTTTCCTATGATCAAAGTCCAACAGGGGAGAAATGAGGCAACGTCCATTTTAGATCATGGATGCAAGAAAAACAAGTGCTTGACACTCATGCAAGCATCCTGTCTACTTGACAATCTTTAAACAGTGTACAAGATACGATCCTATATTTTAGTATTGGAATGTGGCACAAGCTGTGGAACTACGCAGTTAGGGAGTTCTGTACTCAACAAGGCTCCTCCACTGGTATTATACGAATAGTATTCAGATTACCCAGGTCGCAGGACAGAATTACGACGGTAGTTGTCTCAGGGACGGTTGTGAATATGTAGTACAAAATTCGTGACGGAAAATGGTGTCAGATTCTTGTAGGTGGCCGATTTTGTCAATTTTCCTGCCTTAAACTAGGTTAAAATCGTACGACGAAAAACCAAACCGTACAACGCCTGCTACAGCTTTACGAAGACAAACGCACGACATAATTTGAATCATGTGAACATCATTTTACTACAAATTATTTTGTATATCAAAAAACAAGCTGCCATACCTACCTTATTTGTCTACGGAGGCAATTTCTCTGCGTATTTCCGCCCGCGCGCGCACACCAGGACCAAACTAAACCTAGCAACATTGCGCAAACAGTTACCAGCATACCTTTACTAGGCAACCCTAAAAACATGCCAGGCACTGTTCAAATACACGGGCAATGTACAGAGATTTATGTAGTTAAAGGAGCGGGCTAGTTGAATGGATGATTAAGTTGGAACGGAAAACAAACGAATAAAGTGTATTCAAGAGGCTTGGGGTTATGTAGGAGACGACAAGCTAATTTACATAGGGGAGTCGGTAGCACTTGTTTAACACGAACCACGGTAGCAATTAATACCGATCCTGACTGTCAATCATACCAGTAATTAGCTAGCGCTTTAACCAATTAGAGAATGCATGGCAATCACTTTTCAACCAATGAGATAGTGACTGCATGTCCGCATGTTTTGATCAAACGTTTGGTGTGATAAAATGCGAATGAACATTTAAGTTTTATCACCTTTATGAAAAATGGAGGTATTGTTTTTGGTTTGTCTTTCTGTGTGTGTGTGAGTGGGTATGCAAATGTTCATGATGGGTGTTATCTTATCTAAAACGCACAGGCGGCGCACATAGCCGTGCCCAGAAACTTGGTGCGCTCCCCACTCCCCAAGGAGAGGTTGATGGTGGAAGATCGTTTGCTTTTTATGTATGGTCCGTTTTTTTTTCGCTACCACCACCAAGCAACCATGGTGGTGGTGGTAGCGACGATCTTCCACCATCAACCTCTGCTTGGAGAGTAGCGCTCTCGACATATCCGGCAATACTCATAGAAGGGGATCGATCGTTTTTCTCCTCTTATCTGGCCACACCTCTCATCACATATCCTAATTAACGCACCACCCCTACCCAAAAACATTTCATAACGAAATTTCCGCTCTTCCTGCATGTACTGTATTTGAGAAATCTCTCTATCTACGTTCAAGTTTATATTGTCTTCACTGTTTCTGACCCTACATATGAAACGTCCCAATGCCATGGGTAAAACCCCCAGGCTATTTTGATTTGATTACATGGATGAGCTCCCCAAACCTGACGCTAGTGTGCGAAAAGAAAATTGCCTTCACTATGAAATAAAGACAGAACATGGTATACCAACCGATGAAAATAAAGTTTTGTTCTTTCATATCTGCTTTTTGACTTTGGAAGGCTTGTTGATGCAAACAAGTAGTACTTAGAATTCGAGCCCTGCTTCTCTTCCTCTGGTATCTTTTTCCCTTCCAATCTTTGTTATCCTCTAAGTACCTAAAGAAACAGTGTGATCACAAACGTTTGTATTTGGGGGGG